AGTGACATTTTGCCCAAGCTTAATCGGTTTGAGAGGAGGTAGTGTTTCACTGTGGACCAGAGTGCCCTGAAAATTGGGGTTTATGATATAAAAAAGATGGACGATGCACCTAAACTTTGAACGAACATTTTACAAGAATTACGAAATAAGTAAAATTCACTTTTCACTCGATTCGGTCAATTACATGAAAGAGATGGCCATCATTAAGTATCTATAGAGTTTCACGGTCTTAAAAGGTACTAATTTTGTCGTGCGTGTTATTTTCTAACCCACTTCGCGCGCTCTTCCGCTTATCAGATGTAATTAACGGAAATGATTATAATTATTCATCACAAAGTATAGTTATTTTACATGTGGGTAACCTTGCATGGTCATTGCGTACGATTTTGAATATTTTGGTAATTAAACCACTCTCTATTGACTGTTAATCAAGATTACTGTTCGTAAAGGAGAAAATATGATCGATAGTATTAGGTAGGTGCCCGGCGTTTGGCGCAAAAACTTGTTGACCTAGTATACATAGCTAGTATATTCTTATTGCTTCTCGTATTGACGAATAAATCCGGAATTTCTTTACTCTTGGCTACGAACACTTTCGGTGGGCGCAATTTGTATGTTGGGTTGTACGTCATATTAAAACATTTACAATAGAGAAGAACCTTCTTATATTTTCAGTGTTAGAGGTATACTTATGTTTGTAATTTTCTTAATATCCCAAAAATATCGTAGGTTTTTAATAATTTTTTATTTTCTTAAACTAAAATGACTAAGAACGTAAGTTCCAAAATATTTTAATTACTTATTAAATATTAGTTATTGTTTAGTTAATCCTCTAAGATTAAAAACAGGGTGTTCTAAAATTCAATAATTCATTAATTTCTCAAAATGCTTTTAGCTGATTTCGTCAAAAGTTGCCACGCTTATTTATCGTCATAAGAGTACTAAAATTATTCATTTCAATGACATCCAAGAGCGTGACATAATTGATATTTCTTTGTGTGTTTTTTCGTGTTGTTGAACTCAAACAATTAATGATAAATCACGATTAATCAGATTTGTTTATTTACACAACGAGTTACTTCCTGTCCTTTTACTTTAGTTTTTGTTAGGCTAATATAAATAAATAAATTTTGACAACCTGTATCTCAAAACGAAGCAAGTTAGGACATGCTGATTGAAATAAACTTATTCTTGAATGATAAATAGGCCCTTAAAATCTTTGATTTCTGAAATGCTCTGAACAATTGAAAAAAAATCATTGCCGTTATTTTCTTTATTTATCTAAGCGTCAGTTTTTGTTTTCGCCATGCCCAACTTAATAAAATAATGAACAAAACTTTAAAAGAAAGTCCTTTTTCAGTTGCAAGAAGGTAGTATTGAAGTTTGGAACACCCCAAAGCCCGTAAAATAATAAGTTGTGATTTATTTTGTTTAGCAAATTATTTATACTAAATATAACTGCCATCTATCTGGGAATAGTTAAAACTTCTGTTCGTGGCTGAGGCGCAATTCAAATCAAGTACTTTCTCGAGCTTTTCCGTGTCGAATATTCATTTCCTAGGAAAGAAACCGTTTTGGGAAAACAAAAAGATTCAAATATTGGGGATATTGAATTTGATTTTATCTGAAGCAAACAGCATTTGGTGTCCCCCAATTGACGTTGGAGGTTGGTTTAAAATATTGAATAAAATTGTATTTTTAACACAATAAATGTCAGGGCATATAGTACCAGTTGCGGCGGAGAGAAAAACGTGTGAATGACAAATACAGCCTAATATCTACATGGAATATCTACGTAGTTCTTCTTACTTCGCTAAATAAGAGGATGTATAATAAGTATTTTCTGCATTCCGAAAATTTTGTTTTAAAAAATAAAAGAAAATTATTCAACAAATTTCATTGAGAGGCATTTCTCTCTGATGTAAATATTTCTATTTTTTATAGGGCAAACTTAAAAGTTATGTGAAGTTAATTGAGAGGTTTTTAAGTGGATTGAACTGGATCTGATCTGATCTGAGCTGACTTACATATATATCGTGTTTTCCAATTGAATGCCTATAATTAAAAGGGTGATTTATGGATCCTTTTTAAAAAGAAAACTTGCGTCCTAAACGTCTTAGCTTTTGTGATACAGGGTGGTAAAGTTTTCAAAAATAAAATATATATTTTTAATATCTGTAATACCACTTTAGATATTTTAATGAAATTTGGCACACATGTATGTATCAAAAGGCATTATTAATTGATTGACTCTATTAAAATAAAAATTATTCTTACAATCTCCAATCATTTCTAAGGAAATATAATTTCTTTTTTTTTCAATCCGACTTTCAGCTTTTGCTTAAAAAAATATAAACTTCTTTTGTTTTATAAAAATATTTGAAAAGATCCAAGGACGAATACGAAGTACGTAACCCCATGGTGTATTTTTGAAATCTTTATAAAGCGTGTATCCTTCAAGCTGGAGGACACTTTCAACAACTTATCTAGTTTCTAAGTTATACTTTTTTACAAAAATGTGGTTCTATTTACAAAACTAAATAACTGTAAGTATAAACTAAATATTTTGTTTTAGATAGATATTTTATTTTGAAAGGTCTCGATTTAACGAGTGCAGTGCCGACCTAATTATTCAAAATATTATTTGTTCATAGACAATCATCCTTCCTTCCTTAAAAAAATCGCATTGAATTTATTTATTTTTAGTCCGTCGCACGGTTTTCACTTAAATATAAAAACTAATTGTTCTGTTTGCTGTCATATTGGCGATATTGTTATGAGCATGCAGAGAAGAGGTTTTTATTTTTTTAAGCGATTGAAAAATATGAAGAAATTTCTTTAGAAATGATTGGAGATTGTAAGAATAATTTTTATTTTAAGAGAATCAGTACCATCAATATCTGCCAAAAATAAAAAAATGTGGTACACTTAATAATGCCTATTGATATATAGTGAATGTGTGCCCAATTTGATTAAAATATCTAAAGTGGTATTACAGATATTAAAAATATATATTTTGTTTTTGAAAATTTTTATAACCAGTATCTTAAAAGTTATATGAAGTTTTGATATGAATTATTGACATTCAATTAGAAAACACCCTGTATATAGTAGAGAAATCAATTTTGATACGTATCAGTCTTATTACCTTTAATTTACTGATTCTGTGTTTTATCCTCCATTGATTGGGAAATTTTGTATTCTCTTTATTCATTCTCGTTTCGTTTCAATTTATTTACACAAACTACTCGAACCTTTTTATGCCTAGAAGTAGATATAGGAATCGATAGTAGATTAATTCGTTTCTGTTTTCGACCTTAAATTACGACTTGAATCGAATCGACCTCGTAATTGAAATCCAGGGGCGGAAAATTTCGCGTGAAATGCCATAATTAAAAAATAATAATTCTAAAACCTTGCATGATTCGCGCTATTCAGCAATATAGCTTTCCCATATAGAAAACAACTATATGTCGGCATGTCAAACGATTTTCCAGACATCCGGAATGTGTGTGATCCCTAAATACATCTGCTTCTTAACCTACAGTATGTCCACGTTTGTCAGTTCTAGCCGTCAGCAGTCAATGTATTAGTTCCGTTTTGCAAAAATGTACTCAAAAACTAATGATCGTAGAAAATGCATAAAATGCTGGACGTTGATAAAATTCTTGTCACCCTTTATTAAGTATTATTAAGTACTGTGCTCCGCTTGCTTCAAATCAAACGCGTGACTAAAATGGCCTTTATCAAACATGTATAATACACAATGTAAAGTTTATAGTGAAATGGACGTAGTAAATTGTTTGGATAGTTATTACCGGAGTGCTATTTTATTCATGCTCCAAATGTTTTAAATTTGTTTAACAATTATTTAATTATAGGTTTTATTAAACACTGTTCAGCAAATTGAAAAAATAGCTTTCCCAGTGTTTGGTTTGAACTGAATGTACCAATAAACTAGTTATTTTTTAAAATTAACATAAGTAAAAAAATAATAAAAGGCAAATTGATAATTGACGAACTGTATTCTATAAATTGTTGACGCCATTTTGCAGAAATAACAGTGGGGCACATGCAGGGGAAAATCACGAGTGTTCAAAAATTGCAATATTAAACGAAGCAAAATGGCTAAAAGTCACAAATCACAACGAATTTAAATAATACCGCTAAGGGTAAAAAAGGTTAATGTTTATGTTAATGTTTTTTTTGTTGCTTTTTTATATTTTGGTGAGCACTTTTTTAATATTTTAGTTGTTCTTGTGACGCTGAATTTAGCGCTACATATTGTTTTCCCTAGTGTTCCATGCTGGCGATATCTGTTCTTATTACTAATCTCAATCTCCCTCTATATGTTTTGTATGACCATTTTTTACCATTTCGTTCGTTGGTACCCCATTTTTTTACCTATACTCCAGTCAGAAGTTATTATTAGTAATTAGATACGTCACGTATAGTAACGTAATCGGATAACAAAATTACTGTAATGAACTAGATAAAAATGTCATGCTATGACATAATTGCACAATTGCTCTGACTGAATTTATGAATAATTTAAATTTTAATAGATCCACACCTACTATAGCACACATTTTTTGTAGCTTCAAAAGAACACTGAATAGGTAATCATTTCTTGAAATCCTGACTATCTTCAATCAAGACTGTTGGAAATGAGTGAAACAAGATTCTGAAATATTTGCCAAAACGCATCTTCTTTAATACCTATTAGATGTTGTAACTTTAATTTAATTATTAAATAAATTAAACCCTCGACTTGTTTTTGTGCAATTGTAATGGAAATTCGGTTAAATTAACGCAATCAACCAAACCAATTAATATCGATCCGCTAATGAGTTAAATATTTTTAAAGCAATCCTGTGATTCATCCCGCAACGGTACGTCCGGCGTCTTGCTTTATGATATTTATTAAGAAGCGAACAACAAATCGACGAACGTCGTGATTACAGCGAATGGTGCCTTCTGATCATCTTCTTGGATTGCAGGTGTTGTCAGCTGCTATGGGTACCGCTATGTTGAGAGCTTCAACCCGGGGCCTTCCACTTCGAGCGCCAGTAGTTCTTCGGATGTTACAGTGGTGTCCGTGTAGTGCTTACCTGATAGCTTGTCAGCGTTACGACAAAAGTAAGTCCCAGAAAGTTTTGCGTAGACGGTAAGCACGTGCAGAGAAATATGGGCGTATGAAAAGCTAATCAAATTGTTTGGGCACTACTTTTTAGTTAAAAAAAAAAACATTTTTCAAAATTTTATGTTAATTATATTAACATTTTGAAACAATTTGGTCGTAAATCTATTTCATATTTTAAATCCGATTTCAGTCATTTTTGTTTTATACATATGAGTGAATTTATTAACAATCTCTACCATTTTAAGCATAAAAATTAAAAACAGTGTATAATGTATATTATCTATACCTTTATATTTTATTATTAAACTTTTAATTATAATATTATACCTTTAATTGATTTAGATTCACTTTAATATCTATACTAGTTAAAAAAAATACTTACTTGTTTAACAATCATAATAATTATAAGAATTTAAGTGTGGAATCGTAAAAAAGTTGAAATTAATAATGAAAGCTTAAATTAATACATTGCATGAATTTACTAAAAAGATCTTAAACAGTAAAAATTACAGCTTTAAGAGGTATATAATATTGTTTTTTTTTTTTAAATTTCAAATTATAATATTTACTCTCAAAATTGTAAAAATTGTTTCAATTTTATCTCGGCGGACATTATATTTTTATCTTAAAATGAACGCGAATCTTCGCGAAGGGAGGTGAAAGCTTTGATAGTGATGCGTGAATCATTCCAGGATGTTTTGGTAAACCAGGTCGCGCGCCTTAAACTTAAAGTAGAGTTGTTCAAACTTGTCTTTAACTTATTGGTTGTTTATCGTTAAGGGAAAAAATAATTTAAAAGAAAATACTTATCGTATACAGGGTGTTACGAAATTATGAGTTGCCTTCGGAGACAACAAACATTGTATTAATTTTTAATTGTTTTAGTGCTTCCTCTATATAATTTTTCACTAGTTTAAAATATATCTCACTGTGTTACTATTGCGCAAGATTGAAATAGGTAATTCCCTCACTTCGTATGAACAGATTTTCTAATTTGTTTTTTTTTTGTATTTTAAAAATATTGTTTTTTGTCCACATTACAGACACTACTTGGCTGATTTAGGTGGGAAATGCCAGATGCGCCTTCAAATTGAATTAAAAAATACAAATCTTCTGGATTCGTACTGCCTCGGTTGTTGATGAATCGAGTTTGCTTTGATTTGTGTTAAATCAAAGCAGAAAACTGATATATTTTTTTAATTTTACGCTCTTCGATAATCTTTGCAATGAATAGACGTAAAATCTTGAACATATTTATTAAAAGTTTTTCCAAACATAAAGAAAAACATATCTCAGCCATTTTTAGTTGAGTGAAAATATTTAGTATAGTATTTTTCATTATAAAGAATTTTTCTCATCAATAGAGTTGCAAGGAAAAATTAAATCATTGTTATATTGACAAAGGGTATTAGCATATTGGGTAACGAGTGGGTAAACGCAAAATTTCGTCTGAAAGTAAAATTCTCACGCAACGTTTTATCATCTCTCACCGTAATAATAATTGTTAGTGAAGTAGTAAATACTGTTATTATTTATATTGTTAACTTTATAATATTATACCGGCTTAATCGCGGTAATCACAGATATTATTAATACTCCAAATTTTTTCATATTTTACGAAATTTTCTTCTGTTCTTTATAACATTATTATTATAAAAAAAAAACATTTTTAAAGAATCCGGCACTAAAAAAAAGGAATTTAAAATTTAAAGAATGAGCATTTGTACAATGGGCATTTGGGCATTTTTCGTAACAAGAAAAAGGAGCAATGGATCATAAAACGTATAAGTACGCAAATAAAAATCAACGCAATGAAAGTCAGATAAAGTGGAATTAACTTCAACATTCAAGATCATAAAAAATTTTACCCCGGGTGTAAAAACAAAGCCAAGATTGAAGGAATTCCATTCACTTGAATAATTATTTAAAGATCAATACCAAAAAAATGACTAACATGACATCACATGACAACAAACTGACCAAACCGATTATACACACTGTATTATTTCAATAAACGAAATAATATTTATTTGAACGCATTTTTTTTGGCAAATTAGACAACTTGTTTGGTGTCCCACTTCATCTGCGATTTAGTTTACAATGTAGCATCATCTCGCTGCTCCGCTCTGCAATATTTCAGTCATTATACGCTAAAGTTTTTAACGGACGTTCCGTTTCCTATAGCCATTGCGCCATTAGAGTCGCAAATGTACCGTTAAAGCAATTTAATCGCGTGTTTTGTACTAAGTATAACAACGTTAAAAATTAATTGTGTATACATGTTGCTTCTCGTTTTGCATGACTGACTGACATTCACCTCAAACGAATCGAGTCTTTCTAGACCATAGTATACAAATCAGGGAAGTCATTTAAAATTGCAATTAAAATATTTGCAACACATCGGTACTTGAAATCAGCCTGTTTAGCCTGTAATGCAGCAGCTAATATCTGGAAAACGGTACTAACAAACAGTTATATCAAAGGTATCACGAAAAAGTCCAATATAGCATCTAACTTTACCAGGGTTATGTGTGAATAGCCTTAGGCTAGACTTCGCTCTGTATTAATATTTTCTTGTGCATTTATATTTTGTTTATTATGAGTTAAGTCCATTATTATTGTTCTTATTGAAGCGTAGATCTATTTATCAATTTATATTAATAAAAGATTACTTTTGATTTACGTAGATTAAAATTCCAAAAATTCAGGACTGTCTCTGGAGATTTCTTAAATAATACTAGTGCATAAGGCACTAAAGGTACAAGTTTGTTGATTTCTGAGTTAGTTTCAAATTTTTTCTGTTTCCGAACGAAAAAAATAATATCAGGAAAATTAAAAACACTTATTTTTATGAACATTGATTTTGTAGACCCTTTTTTACATCACAAATTTCATAAAAATATTAACAGTATAGAAATTGCTGAAAACGACCACCTTCAGCTTCATCGAACACACTATCGAACAGACGTGTAGCCTGGAACGTAAGGATTTTTTTGCATGGCGAATCTGCAATCGAATGTTGCCAATATATTTTTCAAAACATTATATATATGGGTTGTTCGTCTAATGGTCTTTTCTCATTTATGTAGTTTTTTTGTGGGACCCAGAACTGTCTCCCCACCTCGTTGCAGTTCCCTCGGGAACAGTAGATATCATTTTTTTTAACCTCTAAGGATGTCGTGGTTCAAATCGCGCTGACCCAGTTTTCGCGTCTCGCAAAGATGTAAATCTCGCCTGTGATAACCAGAAAATACCGTAATAATCCCACGCAAGCTCATTTTCATTGAGCTAAATTTGACTCGGCGTAATAATTATCTCATAATAATTCGAAAGGGTTACGAGTTCGAACCGGTACGAACGGAACCAAGAATTTGGTACCGTTAGCACGCGAACGCGTCTCTTTTGTAAAAAGCGGAAACTATTCCAAATATGTAATTGGTCGCGCATATTTAATGGAACTTCTTTATGCGCTGGTCTGATTCATTTTGTGAGAAGGTTACACCCATCTCCAGAGCCTGTTTGACATTTATTGTTCTTCTTATTATTATTTACTTGAGTTTTGGTTTTGGGTTGGGTTTGGATTTCTGTAATTTAATACCGTTTCGAAAATACAGGAATTTAAGTGCGTACAACAAATTTTTGTGTTATATTAAAAAAACATGATTTCTTATCTCCGGTCATTAATTTAGTAATCATGTAAACAATTGATGATTTTTAACAACTGAAAAGATTTTTTTGCGTGTAGAGTGTAGTACTTGCAAGTTTTTTTAAGTTACAGTTTCCTTTACGTGTTATTCTACTAAAATTAAAAATTGTAAAGGATATGTTAAATATTAGGAAAGCTTACTTAAAGGACATTTCAAAAAGTGTCTTATTTATCAGACTGGGTACGCACTCTCGAACATAAATAAGTATATATTAATAACATATATAAATAAGTAAAAAAAAAACAATTCGATAACAAAATTAAAACTAGTTTTAACACAATAATAAAGTATATACACAAAGTATATACATAAAAAACAACATGAGTTACCCAGGTAATATGTAAAAATATGAATTTTAAAGTAAATATTAAAAAAAAATGTTCCATTTACAATAAACCTTACGTATTTTTTTATTTTGATTTTTTCAAAAATTATTTTTGGTATGCAAATGCACACTCAGAAGAATATTCAACCTTTCACATAAGTACAGGGTTATGGAATACTTAAAATTCAATTAAGGCGTGGAAATGCCAGAGGAGGTATGTGCCAACATTTTTGAGATAATCAAGAAAAACTGTTCAAATTTACAACAATGGTTATAATTCTTTGTTCGTGAAAATAAAGAAAGGTTATTCAATTATTACAATAGGCACATATTCCTTTTCTCAGGACATGCGGGGCAAGTACGACAATTCTAACGCAAAATGTCACATGGCACATACCCACTTTGACATTTCCACTCCTCAATTATTTTAGAATATAAAATGAACTTAACAAAAAAAAAACATATTTCTGGAGCCTATACCTTATCTCTAAATCTATAAGTGTTATAAAAAAAACACAAAAGTAGTAATAAAATGGTCTTTATTTTTTCTTGTATTATTTCAGTTGGTATTAAATTACACACAGGGTGGTCAAATAAAGTTATATTTTATTACATCTTTAAATACCAATTTAAAAGACTAATTCAGGAATGTATATAAATATCTATATATCTGTCTCTAATGCACTTTTATTAGCGAATATCTTAGGAATTTAGAGATGATGCAAATTAACTTTTGAAACATTTTTCTGCGTAACATATTCTATAAAATGATACTTTTTCTCAGACAATATACAATAGAATATGACATGACATATTTTTATCAAATATGTAGCGTTGCAACGCTTCGCAAAATGTTATTTCTCTCCGCACCCTGTGTATTTTTGCATTTTCGGATTGCCCTTTTAAAGACGAATTCAATATATGCACATTAGCCTACGATGCACTGTTTTGGATTTGTTGACGATTTTTATCCATTTCCAGGCAATATTATATTAATTCTGAAAGCTTCTCTAATATTTTTTATGAAATTTTATAAATACCGTAAAAATTATAGATTATTTTATTTTTAAAACAGTTACAATATTTGACAAAACTTTTCAAAAATGAAATTAATAATTTCATATTAAATTTTGCACATATTTTCACCATTTTGAATAATGCATCATGATTTTTGACATTTGATATATAATTGGTCGCATTTAATTGCACAGTTTTATGTCGAATTAATTGTTTTAATGCAAAAACTTCTATGGGCTTTTTTTTGTATTCCATTTCTTTTAAAGTGCCTACAAAAACAAGTCCAGTGGGTTTAAATCCGGCCTCTTCGCTCTCCACAAGATGGTGCCCTTTTGCCCAATCCATTGTCGAAAATTTCCATTTCCATTTTGTCCCAAAATTTACAAAGTTTATTTTCAGATTTCTAATAATACATATTTTTTAGATTATGTAATGTTACTGATGTTGAAAATATTCATCTATGTTTGAATTAAAATTAATTAAATTTAATTAAAATGATTAAATGAAATCATTTTTATTTATTTATTTATTTTATATTAAAGAATTTTTATAATATTTAGCGGTATTTCAAATAACCAGCAATTTCATAGAAGAAATATTAGAAATTTAATTATCTGCGTTAATATTGCTTCGGAATTGAAAAAAATCGTCAATAAATTGAAAACAGTCCATCGTAGGCCAATGTTCGTATACATCGTTGAATTCGCCTTTTAAAGGGCTATCCGAAAATGCTAAAATATACAGGGTGATTGAGTAATGAAAATTGAAAGAAGTAACATTTTACGAAAATGTTTTAAAAGTTAATATGCAACCTAAGACAAACTTTTCCAAAATAACCTAATTCCCGACGATATTTACTTTATTTAATTACTCTTTATATAATTGAGTGAAAATTGAAATAATGCAAAAAAATTAAATTAAATTAAAGGTACTAGATACCACGGCTCACCTTGTACTTCCGTCCCATAAGAGCTATAGCTTACAAATTGTCAGCTTGTCAGCTTAGAAACCCCTTCGACTTCTACTTGAGACATAAATAAGAAAGTTTTTGATATAGATAGAGTTTTGCGTGAATAAGAAAAAATGTTGCCTTTTGGGTCTTTTCAAACCACATCATGATGTAGAAAAAATTGAAAAAAATCTTTTTGGACGCATTATAATTATAAGGACACCATTTCCTATAGAGTATTTACGTTTCTACTTCTTTTTCAGGTGAATATGAAGTACTTAAGGGCGTTAGGACTTCTCGCCATTACGTTTTCGACGGTGTTGTCGAACCCACTCGAAACGTCTTCCTCAAGGTACCCCGAAGGCCGTAGTTATGTCCCCTCGCAAAGTAACTCCGTAAATTTAGATTTTCCGATAAGTTCCCGAACTAATGAAACCCCGAAGTCGAAAGTTTTAAACGAAAACCTCGCGAATTATAACGGCAATATGTCTTACTTGGACGAAACGTTACGTAAACTATCGTCATCGGACGCCCACTTTTCCGATTCCGGAGCAATCGGCTCGGAAGAAAGAAAATTGTCTACCAAACGAAAAAATCACATCGCCAAACAAAATGCCAAAACGGCGCACACTCTCAATTCAGTAAACAGATTGAAAATTACGTCAACAAAAGTCGTAGAGAATAAAACTAGTACCGCTGGTCAAAATAAAACTAAAGTTTCCGTCTCCAAGCCCGTGCTAAAATCCAAACCTCACTTAAAATACCGCCTTTCCACCATGGCTCCGATCGTAATCAAATTAACCAAGCCGTCGACCGTCAAATCTACTAACGTCGGCAAAGTCAGCACTCCGCGAACCTCTATAAAGCACAAGCGGCCTCTAAAAGACGGCTCTAACGCTTCCGCTGATTTATCGGACTTTAAGCAAGCGTGGTACGAAGTGGGAGTACCGTATCCCAACCCGACTCCCGAGATTAGCTCAAGTTCGCCCCCGTTTTCTATATCCGACATTCCCCTACAGTCGACTTCTACAACCGAAAACATATTCGTCGACGATCTACCTTCTGTCCTATCGCAAGACTTTCCAGGCTCGATAAATCCCGAAATTTATTCAAATTCACCTTCGACTCCTTTGCAAGGGGTCCCCAATATCATTCAGCCCGCTAGCGGTGATATCCTCGAGCCTGTAGCGGTGTCTGCCGCCGACGAAGTCGTTTCCGCTCCTGGCAACGTCTTAAGCACCTTCAATTTGGATATGGTACCGGATCTGACCAGAAATCCTGGCGGTGTCGGTTGCCCCACGATACATATCGCCAGTTCTGTATTGGGTGCCCAACAACGGCAGGAGTGTTCAGATCTGAACCTCGTCCTCAATTCCCATTATCACCAAAACGCGCAAGACACCAGAAACCCGATTAGCACTTATGACTCGGCGGCTCCTCAGGATACCCTGGCACAGGAGCCGGTCGTCGACGATGGTGCCGTACTGGCAGAAGAACCTGTCGTGTCGGACGTAGGTTCAGGGTTATCGGGTGGTGTGCCCTCGGCGGAATCGGGAGGAAGCGGCGGAAGCGGTGGCAGTGGCGGTAGCGGCGGCGATGGAGACGGGGGAGGCTTGAAATTTCCCGATTTGAAACATATGTTCGAAGCCGTCGGGTATATAATGAACGCATTGGGATGGCTTCTCCAAAAACTCATGAACCCTTGGTTGTACATAGTACCCATCGTTTTGTTCTTTGTTCTCGGCTTCAAGGCGGTAATCGCGCTGTTTCCCTGGTGGATACCCTTGTTGTTCCTTTACTTTAGCGTCAAGAGCGACGACAAGGAGCCGAAAATTAGTCACGTGAATCACCTCCACAAGCCGGTGCGGGTAAAGGAACCGAACGGCTGGTTTTGGAATCACGAAACCAAAACGTGGCAAAACGTATTTGATATCGCGCACCACCGTAGCGACGAAATTGACGGCGAAAAGATTAGAAGCTTTGGCAAGAAATTCGCGGAAAAAGTGGATGGGGATCAAATACGTAAGAGGACGAGGTTTAAATAATGTCAGTTTTGGTGTCTGAAGGAATTTGGCTAGTCGAACCTGTCTCGAAAGAAACAACTTAAATTGATTTTTCAAGTTGCTTTTCGCTGAGCCCGAATTTTTCCAAATATGATCTGACGAAATTGTGGAATTTGAAATTAAACACTCATTATTTTCGAAAATATTAATGTTCGTGTGTCCTAAATTTTACCAACGGTAAAAATTATTTTTTATTTTTGTTTAAAGAAGTTGGAATACATCTTCGGCTATTTTCTTAATGCAGGCGAGTTGTAAATATTGGCCCACGCAACAAAGCACCTACTAAAATAATTTAACTTGGCATGCCAACTAACATTTTTTGTTTTATAATGTTATCTTCAAAGCCTATCGATTATTTACGAAACGTTTTCATTAATCTTTAAATCTTCTATAGCGATTAAATGGACAATCTTATAAAGGTAACGGTGACCAACATTTTAGTCCCATATAAAACTTTCGCTCCCCAACTAAGAGGTTGCCGTTAACTTTGTAAATGTTTTATAACGGCAAAGATTGCATTTTCATAACCGATATTAAACGTACCTAAATGTACTATAGAGGCTGCAAAATTTGCGGCGTACAGTTTTTATGAACACCAAACAATAAACCCCTAAATATTTTATTGTCATTGCATTTTGTTTTTGTTCTAAAGTAATTTTCTGCTAGCTTAGATCATCTTAGAGCAGCAAGTACACTGTGGTTTAGGTACTAATTTTGCTCTAAAGTTGGCAGTAATTGATATTTACTTTGACTTTATAACATCTTGAAAATGTCTTACTAAATCTTATAATAACTCAAATACTCCTTATCCTTCCTAAAACTAGAGCGCCCTCGTTTTGAGTACTTTGAAACGTAATTTAGGTGAAACCTTAAAAATTAAAATTATTTGAAATTAAAACTTATCTTCAAGGTTCAGTAATATTGTTTAAAATGTGGTATTTATGTCAATTCGAAAAACAATATAAACGCACGCCATGTGAACCAGGTTCCCTTTTTAAAAACCTATCCTGCTATATGGGCTTTCAAGTAATATTAAACACCTTAGAAACTTTTATAACAATATAAGTTAAGTCGCTGGCATAAAACTAAAAGCAACAGGACACACTAAAAATCATAACCTCGAAGACATAGCAGCTTTCTACATGAAACATTGTGTTACTGGATCAGTTTCATAATATTTTTTGGTTTGATGGTACCTGTTAAGTTTTTTAGGATTTATTACGTAGTAAGATATGTCTCCAAGAGTAATGGTTTTGTAAGGAAATTAGGAAAACCTTTTTAAAAAATCTTTTAACCAACACCAAAAATTTTATACATATAGTAAACATTTTGGATTCAATATTATAAAACTTAAAGTGTTTTGGTATTTATTACATTTTTTCAAAACTTGTAACACGCAATGGTGCTCTTATAAAATTAAAAAACTGTTATAAAAGCTAAGGTTTCTTATAAACCCTTTACTAATATCCGTTACCTTATGATAAAACTTTAAGCTGCGAAAAATGTTAGTTGTGAGATTTTGTTTTAGCTTATAAATTTTGTAAAGTAAAGGCACCAATTTTGTTAGATTTTTTCAACTAGGTAAAGTTATCGTATGCCATTTGCTGGTTTCTGGCATTAAAAAGGAGAATTCTCGAGATTAAAATCTCGCGCAGACAAAAATGTCTTAAGGGTTTCTTCTGGGTGTGGATTTGCGTGGATGTTTCCGCAAGCATGATGCTGACTTGTTGCAATCCCAGAAAAAGCCGGCAGCATATTGAGTGAATCCACACTGCTTCTGGTTTCTAGTTTCAAGTTTTACAGCCTGCGTTTCTTTGAAAAATTAAGAGCATAATTATTTTTATTATAACAACTAGAATTTTATTTAATACACTTCAACTGTTTCAGTTCATCAGAAATTTAAAAATTCGCTCAAAGCGGGTATATATATCTAGTTATATTCTATTTGGCGCATTTTTAGACTTCTTTGTTGTTAATCCCTACCAAAAACAACCGATTAAATTCGTTAGAGTTATCGAAGTGGCAAGTCAACTAAAATCAAGACATTGAAAAGGATATGCCTAATTTACCTGCGTATATTTCAATTATAACCATCTAGTCCAAGTAAGACAATTTTTTTGCCGCAATATGTTTAATTGTTTGTAGTTATTTATTGGAAAAATTTTCTATGTAGAAATTGTGTATTTTGTACATTTTTAAGGAATAAAATTACTCAATGTCAACTGTGTTTTTCTTAACCTCGATCTTGAGCTGTTCCCTTACCGAAACCGGAACTAGCAAAGTAAATTTATTTTTTTAGGTCGACTCCTTCACCCGGCCACCACGAAGGAAATGAACAACAACTGGCTATTAGCAACGGCCCGATAATCGACGTTCTAGATGTGAGAACGCCTCCAAAAATCAAACAGGAATTGAAAATCAAGCAAAAGGAACAGGGCGAACCCTTCCACCCGGGGATCGCGATCCCGATCGATGACGACTCCATAGTTCTGGAAGAGACGACTAAAAAGTTAAACTTTTATAAAATCGAAAGACCTGCCACGACGACGAACAACGGCTTGTCGACTTGGATTTTACTCAGTAACACACCGACTACGAGACCGCCGACCAAGAAAACAACTGCGAAGCCAGAAACTGCTAACGCCAGCAACGAGACGATGGTGGTGACCGATAAGCCGAATAAAATAGCCAAACCTATTTTCAAAAAGAGAACGACCACATCGAAACCCTCGTGGACTACGAAGTTGGCTTCGACGTTGGCTTCGTCCACCACCAATTCTCCAAAGCTTACAAAAGTTAAAGCATCGATTCTCAACAATGCAGTGAATAAAAAAAATGCTAGTACCACCACCGAGAAAAAAAGCACCACTACCACTGCGAAACCTGTAGTCCACACGACCAAAATTGAAACCACTTCCGCAGAGTCGAACACCACGTCAAAAGATTCCGTGTCTCTGCCAGCGGAAGCAAAGGAAACGGAAACGGAACTACCGTCTGACGACAAGAAAAAGAATAAGAAGAAGAAAAACAAGAACAGGAGACGCAAACCGCAGAATAAGGAAGACAATACGAAACTCAAAGAAGTGCAGCCGGTGTCGACGCAACTCTACAGTTATTTGAGGAGCGAAATCATCCCCGTTACTGTGGGTGTTAGTCTGGTGGGGCTGTTGGTGACCGCGGGATTAGCCAGCTACTATTTGCAACCGTTTGGACTTCTTACCAGGAGAAACGACCCGATCGATCGCAAAGACAACGAAGGGGGGTACTACTATCAAGATCAGTATTCGGGCGGTATCCCGGAAGAAGACGCAATTGGGAAAGTGATAGCGGGTATGCCAGAAAACTCGTTGACGAACGACAACGGTTATAAAACATCTACCACAAAGAACTCGTACTCCAACAATGTGAGGTATCGCCATGTGGATAGGAGATCCCAAATCTATATGAATCCGTACGGAACGGTCGAAGACGTTAAATTGGATGATGGTGCAGGGTACCACGGCAAACAGTTCGTGGTGGGCAGCGTGTCGAAGGAGTTGATACCGGAACCAACTCCCGCAGCAGTACCGGAACATGGTCCCCGTAATATCAACGGAAATGAGCGAAAGTTCGTGGTTGGGAGTATACTGGACGGCCGATTTAAAGGGGGCCCATCGCCGAGAAATTTAAAGTCGGGGAGAAGAAGGAGAAGGGAAGTGCCTGACGATGCGGACAACGAGATTATTAACGACGACACTCTCAACCCTGGCTCCACAACGACTGCCGCAACTACGTCATCTACTCCCTCAGACTCACTCACTCACCTCAACGAGACCACCAACGCTCTGGCGGACCTCTTCGCAAATTTGTTTCGCATCAAAATCCAGTTGGGATTGGAGATTATACGGAACGTCACTCGAGGTGTATCCGCATACATCTCCGAAATTGAAACTAAATTAAACGATTACGAGAGTACATCTAAACAACCATTGCGCTTAAGAAAACGTCGGCAAGTCCTCGACACAAAGGAAAACGAGATCTTTCCCGAAGATGACGCGACCGCTCATCATCCGAAAATTACCGAACCTTTTTCCAACGAAGACACGGCAAACGCGCACAATCCACAAAATGGTGCGGCAACACCCATCGCCGCCACCGAAGAACCAACGACGGAAGTCTCAGTGGCGGAGACCGGGGAACCTACTAACAATATAATGCATATCAGCCAGAAACCGACGACCCTCATGGACCTTTTGAAAGACTTGTTTCGTTTGAAACTTAGGGTGGGTTTGGAATTGTTCCAAAAGGTATCGAGGAGCGTCTCCTCGTATGTATCGTCGGTGCAATCTAGGTTGAACGATTATCGCTATAGAGATGATTCAAAGCCGAGGTGTTGATACGAAATTTAGAAAATTCGTTTTGCAGAACAGTTAGAGATTGCTGTACATATTAGATATTAGGTTTTCGCGCACTCCAAGATGCATTAAAAAGATTTTTTTACTTTAACCAGGGGTCTATTAAGTTTGAAAAAGGAGAATGTGAAAATTTGGTGGAAGATGGTTGTAGTAATTTATTTTACTTACTTTTTAATTATTTAAATGCAATTTATTGTTGTGTTACTTAAGACTGTGTAAATTTTAGGTATATTATTAATTACGTCGCAATAAATTGTGTATGATTTTCATGCGGATGTTTTGATTTCGTTTGTTTTCGATCTATCTATTGTTTAGGGATATTTTTTCTTAACATATTTTGACTTTCACCAAATTTATTCCAGCTATGACAACCCGGTTTCAAACGTGATTATGTTTTTGTTGTTGGAAACAGTACATCACACTGTTTAATTTTCTTAAGACAACTGAGACACTTACAGAGAGCGCCATTACCAAACTAGCGTACTCAATCAAGTCAGAAATTCTTTTAAACGAGCCCAAATTTATTGAAATAGTTTAAGAGGTGTAGAAAGAAAAGCTTTACAAATATCTTTTTCATTATCTAACAGAAACATGAAAAAATGTACACCTATTCTAATTTCCTATTATTTTCTATAACTATTGTAATAAGAACATGTTAAAAAATTAAATACATAATAAAATATGGAGCAGTCGTTTCTTCGAAGGTTTTGAAAACGCTGCCATTCACACAAGATTTTATGAACGTCTACATTTTATTAAATTAAATTGAATCAGTAGTTTGCGCGTTAAATTCTTGGCAAAACCGTAAAGCGACACTTGCTTCGTGAACTATTTTTTAATTGGTACTTGATAAAAATATATATTGCTATATACTTTTTTGGGAAATTTATTATTATCATGTTTTTACATGTTTTACAATATTATAACAGTTTCCATAAATATGGGACACATGTCGCATATATGCGAATGGTACACTTTCAACTTACTAACTTTGCAGGACTTTGTAAAAATATGCTAATTGCTCTTTTATCAGATTATCTTTAAATATTGCCAACTCCATACAGTTACTAATATTCAAACGTGGTTTATAATTATTTGGTGTATTATTCAAACAACTTGATCATAATGAAGATTCGGATCCTTTCTGGTCCAGTCATGTGGGAAAGGTAGATGCTTACGAGTTAAGTAGCCAATAAAATTAATGTTTTATACCATGAGCTCTACTTACGGAAACTACGCAGCCGCTCATAACCTGTGAACTATGACATTTTGGTGGATGCGCTGGGTGTTAAACTGGTGCCTCTGTATTGGCATAGGTCGATTTGACGATGTATCGGGTGATGCATTGCCGAACGGAATATAGGAAATCCAATGTAAACTTTTCGGTGGCAATTATTGAATTTGAGTTTGAATAAATTTTAATAAGTCAATCTTCAGTTATTGCATTAAATATGATGGCAAAATCAGAACATTTTTATAGTTTAGGTAATAAATCAAACACCAGTAAAATAAATTTTGACAATGACAACAGGAAAATTCGCGACAGTAACAATATTTTTATTTGTGCTTATTACACGTTATTAAATGAGCTTTAATTAAAGCTAAATATGCGTTACTCAATTGAAGAAAAGGTAAACATAATTATGCAGGGGACAGTCTTAGAACAGTGTCTGAAATGTTTTATTATTATTTTAAACGTCTTATTACCCACTTCGAATCTAAAGGCACCGAAATGAATAACTGCAAATGTTGAGCTGAAAATGTCGATAATAGAGCAGAAGAAAGGGATAATAGAGATTTGAATATTTCATTGCAGGTTGAGGAAAACAAATCCATTAGTACAAGGATTCTTGGACAAGCTATAAACAAAGTGTAAACAAACATCAATCCACAGTGGTGCGCACAAAGAAACAAATATTTTGAAATGATGGAAAAAGCAAATAATGACAGGGATTTAAGATCTTAAGGACCGAGAATGAGTTTGATCCTAAGAACATAATGATACACCTACATACCTAGTTTATTTTGAATGTGTCAAACTAAATGTGGATGTCTTTATTATAAATCAACTTTTATTTGTCATTGTTCAGGTTGACGTGTTTGTTGTATTGACCTTTTGCAACTTTACCATCATATTTAATTCAATAACTGAAGATTGCCTTATTAAATTTTATTCAAACTCGAAACATGAGATAAATAATCATACCGGCCCTTGCAAAAAGTTTTATTACAACTTTGCTATAAAATGTACAGGGGAGAAAATATTTGGGCACCTAAAAACTTACATGGGATTTCCCATTTTCCATGTTAACCTTAATGACACGACACTAGCATTTTGGGATAAGCTCCAAACAGTTGGCTTCAAATATTCAAACAGAGTTTATACTTGGTGTATTATAATTCAAACAAGCGGATCCTTCCCTTGGAATTAACCCCTGGTTTTCATGGCTGATGGCTTGTCCTCGAACCACAGCAACCGCCCTGTATAGTCGGCTCGCCCTTGGTTTCATATTTTGTTTATAAGGGGTGTTTTTTTCGATGTATAGAACTTTAAGTTGCAATAAAACAAAGATGGATTATTGGATTGACATGAATTTTATTTATCCGAATGATAATCTTGTGGCATTACATTGTAAATATGATTTCTGGCATATGACCACCACGGCTGGCGCGGATGTAGTCCAATCTGGACGTCCAATTTTCGATGACTTTTTCCAACATTTGTGGCCGTATATTGACAATAACACGGCGAATGTTGTCTTCCAAATGGTCAAGCATTTGTGGTTATCCGCATAGACCAATGACTTTACATAGCCCCACAGAAAGTAGTCTAGCGGTGTTAAATCACAAGATCTTGGAGGTCAATTCACAGGTCCAAAACGTGAAATTAGGCGGTCACCAAACGTGTCTTTCAATAAATCGATTGTGGCACGAGCTGTGTGATTATTCAATTCAGGAATGAAAGAGTTAGTAATCATAGCTCTATACCGATCACCATTGACTGTTCTGGTCATCATCGTTTTTGAAGAAGTACGGATCAATCATTCCACCAGCCCACAAAGCGCACCAAACAGTCAGTTTTTCTCTATTTAACGGTGTTTCGACATACACTTGAGGACTAGCTTCGCTCCAAATGCGGCAGTTTTGTTTGTTGACGTAGCCGTTCAACCAGAAGTGCGCTTCATCGCTAAACAAAATTCGCTTATGAAAATCAGGAACAACGGCAATTTCGTTTTGGGCCCAGTCGACGAATCTATGCCTTACTTGATGAATTGCAAACCAAACTGAGAATAAATCACTTGACAACTGTTAAATCGGTCGCCATCTTGAACAGTAATGCCAACTTAAAGTTCTATACATCGAAAAAAACACCCATTACTTCCGGTTCTGCTTTTTGAAGCAAAGTTCGATATTTAATTAAGTTGCCAATAACAGGGACATTTACATTACCAGTGTATTGTTACGCAACTGGATCTGTTATCAAAATACTTTAATATTAATTTATTAACTCTCTGTATAATGTTCAAGGGACCGAAAACATTGTTTTTTGACAAAAATTCAAACATTAAAAAATAAATAATTTAATAAATAAAATACATTTTATAAATAACGAGGTAGACTTATTTCTATGTTGGGAACAAGTTTGTTATTCACTAGCCTCACATTCCTTTTTCGCCTTTTGCCTCCGCTCATTGCCAGAGGAACCATCATAGCCATCGTCGCTGGAATTAATCCTGCACCTTTTAACAAATGACAAACACTCAATAACAACTTAAGAATACATACGTGTCGAAAGTGTTATTTGAAAACTGATAGCCACTTACCTACTGCAGCCATAACAGCACTTGGATCGGTATGGCCTCTTGGTATTGATGCCACTTGTGTCGGAGTCTGAGTGATTTGATTCAATCCAATTTTAACTTTATTTTTATTATTCTTCCTTCTCTTCCTCTTGGATTTATTTTTCAGTCGATTCTTTTTGTCTAATTTCTCTTTAGATTGCTCGACGCTTTCTGACGTCGATGCAACTTGCAGCAATCCTCCATGGGATGTCGTCATATTCACTTTAGAATTTTTTAAGGGTGGTAGTACTGTCAAACGCACGGATCTTAAATTTTTTAGGATTATTAAGGAGTTTAACGTGTTCGCTTATCTTACCTATGAGTACCCAAAGATTGAGTGGGCTCTAATGTGGTGCCTAAATCTAAAGAACGCTGTCTATTTTTCGGAGGCCGGTACCCTTTGGTGGTAGAAAGCAGAACCCATTCGCCGTTACCATTGAAGGGATGGTTATCCGAATGAATATCTATATCCGACCCTCTCCTCCTCAAGTTGCTGTACGGTGAAGAGTGGGGAAAATTGGACGGCATCCCATCCGTGATGATACCATCGTACGGATGAGAGGGATGATCGCAATTTTTATCGTCTGGAAGAGATGTAAATTACAGAATGTGGTCGTATTCGAATTAAAATACATACTGTGGTGGTAGAGATACGGCTTGCCGGTACTACTGTAAGAATTGGAGGGGAAGGATGTTTGGACGTGAACTTTGTGTCCGTACGTTGCAGACGGTCTCGACCCAAGTGAAGGTCTGGGATAATTTTCTTCGTCGTCGTGGTATAAGTCGAATCGATCGGAAGTTTCGGATGGTCTTTTGTTGTATATGTACGGGCTAGGTGGCGTTATTGATACCGGCCTATAAAACAGAAATTGTAGGAATGCTCAAATTAGTAAGCAGATTTCCATTTGCCTAAAGTTGCAGTCAACAAGAATTTTACTTTTTGATAGTGCCGATTAAATGCATTATATCCAAAAATAAGAATAACCAATTTTCCATGACTTGGTTCAGGCAATTAGAAAAGTCAAAGCTGTGCGATGCCACCATAGGAGGAGCTAATCTATGAAATCTGAAGTTAAGATGAACTAGCTATAGTCTACACAATAAACAGAACAAAATCATATTAAATAACTGCCTAATTAAAATTTAGAAACAAATCGGAAATTCACCGACAGCAAACAACCAAAATTTAGATCCGGCATATTTGGTGCAGAACGTTATTTAGGTTATCTAGTTAAATTCAACTAAATTTTTGTAATTTTGGCAATTCAAAAGAATAATATACTTGGTTAGTAAAAAGTACTGGAACACTGAAATATCTCCAAAACTGCCAAAGCAGGAATGATAAAATTCAATACCTGGGTGCTTTTGAACAGGCAGGATTCAAAATACTAACAGCAATGTTGACAAATTTCGCGATCAACTTCTAAAGTTTCCAATGTTCAAAAGCCTCCAAAATTCTCAGATGTTTATTAACAATGGTATGTCTGACCACACTGCTATTAACATTTTTCAATTGTGCGTGTTGAAAACCCCCCGGGTATTGATTTTTTTTTCGTTCGAGTTTTGGTAGTTTTGAATATATTTAGGCATTCCGGTACATTTTTAAAATAAAATTATGACGTGCCAATATTGCTGATAGCATTTTTGGATTCTGTACGCCTCCGCTATTTTTTACTAACCCGGTATAAAATTACTTTTTACAACACTTCCTTCTGCGTCGGGTTTTGTTGAGTCGAAATTGTTAACGTTTCGCCAATCATCATGTTGGCTTCTTCAAAGCTTGACTGAAACTGCTCTGAACAAGCCAACAGGATGATTGGCAAAACGTTAGCAATTTCGACACAACAAAAAAAGACGCCGGAAGAATACAGAAATTTTGTAAAAAGAATTACAGCAGCCTGTGGAAGTTTCTTTGAAAAACCGGTATAAAATTATACATTGTACATGCCAGACCAGAATATAAAAAAAAATGCAGAAGCCTTCCCGTTGAAGCTAGCTAAGCTTAAAAAATGAACATTAACAAAACACACAGAAATTGGAATTATGGAGAAAGGAAAAGAACAAGAAATGCTAAGAAAATGAAGGGAAGAGAAGATATTTTGTCACGAACATCAGCCAACTACACTCCATTTATTTTGTAAATGAACTAATAATGGATATAGCAAAGTCACTTATTTTATATTTATTAATTGTAAAAGCTTTCTGGTAGGATTTTTTTTTTAATCCAATGAGTGACTTAAAGAGTTTACGAAACGTGTTGTTGTTGCTCCCAAACCCGTGCGGTAATATCCCGGAAATGTCTGAAGTGGCTCGGATAGGTGGGAAACGACACTTGGTGGTAAAATTACACTTTACGCGCGGTAGATCAGTGTATAATCAGGTAATTTACAGAAGGGAGTAGAAAAAAAAATTAAGTGACCCGCAGCAGTAAGTAACGAAACTGGCAAACTTTTTAAATCACTCATTTATTAAGTACAGTTGACAAATCTTAATGACAGATATTTATGCATGAACATCCAATACGATACATTAATTATGTTATTTAATAGACGTACTGAATGCAAAGCACGTCTCTGAGCCATCGAGAGTCATACCAGTTCTTCAAGTCTATGGTAAACTCGAGGCCCCACTGTGTAAACAAAATGAACAGAGATTTTTGAATGATGACGTACCACGTACATCTAAATCTTTGGTACTCAATAGCGCACAGTATGGAGAAACTGCTATATGACCTTAGACGCGCGAACGCAGCTTGGAATGCAAATAATGCAGACGTCAAATTATATACCACGGCATCGGGCTAAAAGATTTATGGCCATACTATGCCACTATTCCAACATTTCGTATCTATCGGATTATTGTAATAAGGACAATTTAACATGTTAAATTATAATAACAATATAACGTAATTTTAATTAATAAAAAAATAGGAGTTCTCTGCTTGCGCTTCTAACTTAGAGCATTTTAGAGCAGATTTAGTAGATTAGGTACTAAATTTAAAACAAAGAATGACATGCAACGACGTTTAAAATATAAGAATGAATAACCCTGTTACCAACAGTCACGAAATTGCACTAATTATTTACTTATCAAAGAAAGTGCTGTGTAGTTTGTTGTATATAAAGTAAACATTCTTTAAAAATTTAGATTTAAAATGTTCAACACTTAAGTTTAATAAATCAGCTGGCAATATAAAGCCGCATTATAAGAAAACAAACGCTGAGACTTTGATGGTGTGGAATCGACAATTTATTTCTATACCCCATTGTGAATTTTATAACGAAATACCAATTTTTCTCTGAGTGAATCAACGGAGTCTTTGTTTTTAATAATTTTATATAGAAACGTGAAAAAATTATGTACACGCCTAAAATTAGCATAGCATAGCATGCTTAGCAAGTCGTTGTATAGATAGAATACACGATCATACTTTCTTAAGCCATATGTAAATCGTATACAGAAGTTTTAGACTCTTTATATTCTATTTTTGCTGTACATATCGACAAAGAAACCGCAAACATAATCATTGTAATTAAAATGCGACAATACAAAGTTTTCACAAAATAGTCCTTAATTTAAAATTTAAAATATGTCGGTTGGAAAACTAACATTATTTTTATATATTTTTACAATACTCTAATAGAAAAAAAATCTCTGGTCGCCTTAAATGTCTGACATGTGTATGGTATACTCCTGCACATATTCAACCCAAAGCAAAATTATTAACGGATCATTTACTTTGTAGGACTACGTAAAGACGTACTACCTATTTATCCTACTATAGCGATTTTTTCAAATAACGAGGGAAAAATCAATCATGTACGAGATCTTTGGCTTATTTTTGTTTAGGCAAGACACATATTAGAAATAATAGATAAATACCTGAGTGACAATTAATGGTTAGTATTAATAGAGTATAATTTGTTTATTTTTGTAAGACCTTGCGTCATATTTATCTCAGTTAAAAAATATAAAATGAATTTAATGACAAATTATTGGTACAAGAAAAAAAGGTTTTGTGCGTTTCATATTACCTTTGTATATATTTTATTATATTGCTAAAAATCGGCTTTATTTAGTGTTTATGCTTATGTTTTTGTTATATATATATATATATATATATATATATATATATATATATATATATATATATATATATATATATATATATATATATATATATATATATATATATATATATATATATATATATATATATATATATATATATATATATATATATATATATATATATATATATATATATATATATATATATATATATATATATATATATATATATATATATATATATATATATATATATATATATATATATATATAATTATATATATATATTTTTTTCTGATATAAACGCAAAAAAAAATAATTTTCTGAAAAAAGAATTAATGCCAAGTCATAACTTCCTTTTGTCATTTTGTAGTTAAATAAGGGCCAACAACCCTCAAATCTCTTATGAATATCTTTTGTCTGATAGGCCATTTGGCTTATATTCTTCCATAAATCCACCTTGTAGCTAGGCAATTAAGAGAGGCCTTGACTGTGTGTGTGTGTGTTTTTTTTTATATTTTTATCTTCACGTCTTAATATTATTCGATTTCTCTTATTCAAATATATTAAACCAGCATCAAGTTAAATTTGAATAGCATCAAAAATTATCACAAAAATCGGCTTTATTTAGTGTTTATGCTTATGTTTTTGTTATATATATTTATATATATATATATATATATATATATATATATATATATATATATATATATATATATATATATATATATATATATATATATATATATATATATATATATATATATGTAATTATATATATATATTTTTTTCTGATATAAACGCAAAAAAAAATAATTTTCTGAAAAAAGAATTAATGCCAAGTCATAACTTCCTTTTGTCATTTTGTAGTTAAATAAGGGCCAACAACCCTCAAATCTCTTATGAATATCTTTTGTCTGATAGGCCATTTGGCTTATATTCTTCCATAAATCCACCTTGTAGCTAGGCAATTAAGAGAGGCCTTGACTGTGTGTGTGTGTGTTTTTTTTATATTTTTATCTTCACGTCTTAATATTATTCGATTTCTCTTATTCAAATATATTAAACCAGCATCAAGTTAAATTTGAATAGCATCAAAAATTATCACAATTATCGAATCACCAGAAAGGTGCTCTAAAATTAAAAAGAAAAACAACTTAATGAGGTTTCAAAATGTTAGAATAATACATTAAAAGTTTTGAAAATTGGGATCACCACACTCGCCATCGATAAGGACACGAGTTCCATAATTGCTAAATGTAGTTTGAGCTTACCTCCTGTAGTCGAATTCATTTTCCCAGGGCTTGTCGTCCACGTCATCCATTTGGGTGGGTCGTTCGGCAACCGGTCTATACTTGCTATGCCATTTAGAAACTTTCGACACCGACCACGGGATGGGTTCCAAGCTAACCCATCCCTTTTTGTCCTCAAACGGATGACTATGTCTTTGTACATCCTGGAGCGACCAACTTTTAGATTTGTCATCAGAGAAATCTGCGTTTTGATCTTGTTGAATCAACTTGTCCAGATTTAAAGCGGCTTGGTCTTCGTAATGGGTGACAGGTTTGGTTTTCCTGTTTTGCCCTTTAGCGTAAGTTTCCAAGAATTCCTTTAGTGATATGCTCCCGCCGTCGTCATTTTTGTTCAGGTTATTCTTTCTGCTATCGGACTGAAAGCTGCGTTGGTCGTGCCTAAAGACGAAAAATAAAGTCACTAAGATATTGTTCGCTCTTGTTTTTTTGTAGGTTATCAGATTATATACAATATTTAATAATGACTTTTAGCAAATTTTGATTCTGGGAATAGCGTGTGCTTCAAAAATTATATATAAATTCTTTTACGAAAGTTTTTAAATATTTACATTTCAAAACTGACATTTTCTTTTTGAAAATATGAAAAATTTTATTATGAACATTTGTTTCTTTTAACCGGGTGGTCAGTTAAGAAGGACACTCCGTCCTATTTCGAACAGTAATTGTCGTCAAAAATTGCAAGAAATTTGGCAGATCAAATTACCAGTTTTTCTTTTGGCTGAATTTGTACTTGTAAATGGGCGCAAAGCTTTTGTTTTAGTTAATTTATAGGTTTATCCTCTATAAAAAATGTAATTAAAGTTGAAATGACGAAAGATGAGCCTTAAAAGCCTAATATACCTTTATGAGTTAGTAGATATGGTCCCAGAAAAATCTAACTGAAAAATGTTCAAGAAGCATCTGCAGAACTATAAAAAATGCCAATGGACAAATTGTTTAAAAAAACTGAATTTCAATATGTAACCTGCGTTAGTCCTAAATGTAAGAGAATTGCACAGAGTGTACCGGGCTTAAATTCTATTCTTTTTCGTCAAATGGTTTGTGTTCTCAAGGGAAACTGGTGCGCTGAAAGTATTTTGTTCAACTTGGACTTGTTGGAAAGGACTTTTTTTAGAGCATCAACGCTACCCTGAGCAGATTAATTTAAATTGCTTGTATCGCCGGATTTTTGCTACGATATCACTTTTATTGTTCTAAAAAAAAACTAAATGACAGCCTAACACGCTAGTGAAAATCCCATTTTAATACCCTTTTACTAATCTATAAGATCAGTACAAGAAGTAAAAACTGAAAATAATGTCGCAATTTTGGTAATATTTTCAGAATACCTGCTATTATTAAATCCTAATGTTCCATGTTTTAAATTTACTGTTAAAATATCAAAATTATGTTTCAAATTAATATTTATTTAATATGATTAGATATTGCCCATATATCTACACGAAATTCGAAATTTTTAAATCCAAGTGTTCTTTAGAAAACAAAATGTCAAAAATTATTTTGATGGTGTTAAGTGTCAATATAAGAAAATCAATTTATAGTGTTTCTGTTTAGAATATATTTTTCTGTTTATGTTAGAATATATGCAATGTAGTATCCTGCATTAGCACGCATTAATTTTAGTATTGTATCTGTTTAATTCTTTTTTATTATTGTATAGTATTGCAATAGTTGAATCAAATGGGGATGAGCATTATTTTTTTAAATTTAATTTATGATTTTAAGTTTTAATTTCATATTATTATTGACAGATTAAATTTAATGCTTGCGTTTTAACGGTTAATGTGTATATATTTTGCTTAAAAGGCAAGAATAGGTATCCTAAAAATATTTCCAAGCGACATTATTTTGTTTTTATTTATTTTACTGATATAAGTTTTAAGTTAAATATATTTTGTTAAAACCGTAAGGATATCCTTGAATTTCTATTTTTTTTAATGTATTTTATTTATAATATTGTGCCCTGTAGTGGCGATATACGCAATCAGAAAAATCCGCTCAAGGCAGCGTTCACGGCTACACCAAATTTGACAAAATGCCTTCAGCCATTTTGAAGACATCCCTCACAATGTCAGAGGTAGAGTAAAAAAGTAAAAACTATTCTACAAAAAAGAATTGAATTTATCGTAAAACGGTGTTCATTTCAGTTGTCCACAATAAAAGATTATTTCTCAAAAAACGAGGTTTAAAATTCTAGAATGCGATTACGTACCCTGACGGCCATTAGAGAAATTTCAAAATAATTTCCAGAATTTTCTGTTCGAGATGGGGCCGAGTGACCTTAATATATCACTCGGTACTTATGTACTATCTATTTAAATATTAAAAATTGGTTTTTACATCGTAAAACCAAATAAACTTCAGTTGATTTTATTAAAACCCAAATAGCTAACTGACCTCTATACTTACCCCTTTGAAGGTATAATCAGCTAAAGTTTATTTTAATTTTTCAAACATTAAAAGTATATTGAATATGCAGCGACGATGTCTATAGGTTAATTGGAAGATTCTCTTTGAAATCTGGTGTTTAAGATAAATTTAAAAAAAAAATAACTTTATTAAAGTAGTCAGCCTAGTCCACCCAATTAGTTTGAATTCTATTACTTTAAATTTGAATATATCAAATAAAGTGTTTTTTTTTGAAAATCTGCACATTTGTAGAAATATTTAAAAAAAATTCGCAAATTGATTAATTTATCAGGATCTAAATTTGCTAACCCTTATTAATAAAAAATGTTCCTATATGATGCAGACTTTTGTGGTAATAATGTACAACATTTACTATCATCTGAATTACCTAAAGGAAAACATTTTATCGCGCTAATAAACAATATTGATAACTGTAATAATTGTTCAAAATGTAAAAAAAAAATGTTACCAACGAAGCAAAAAATTTGATTTGATTTCTTTTTTGGAACAACTATTGACTGATCATTATTAATGCTTCTAATTTTTGTTAGAGTTTTTATTATTTGATCTAGTTCATTTATGGTCAAAATTACGAAGCTATGTAAATGTTGTAGAGATTTTAGTTGGCTAAAATAATCACAAAGGGAATAAAATCAAAAAACTTATAAATATGACCGAATAAATAAAAGGACATTGTAACTGACCTATTTGATTCAGCGCCGATTTTATCCCATTCAGTCGTCTTCGTAATATCAGAACCGGCCTCGCCAGATTCCGGACGGTTCGTGCTCCCATCGTATACATCAGCGCGCACCATACAAGTACCGAGAACTATCGCCGCTATCAGCAGTAGCATTGCGAGACCGCGATATGGCTGATACGGCCTCTCAGGTCTAACCGTGAATGTCCCGAGATTCACGGTTTAGTGGTTTTAAATGTGGATGATCTCTTTCTCTCTCCCTACCCGGTCAAACTCTTCAATCGCGGAAAAATGACAATGAAAATCTCGAGTTGTCGTTTGTTATGCGGATAATTTTATCGGACGACTCTTGCGGAATAGAAAGTCGAGCGCGATTCAGAGACGGACTGGGCAGGTTTGTCGGTAAAAGTTTTAATTACATGCATTTGTGCATTTGTTTACTGAAAAGGAAAGCAAAATACGTTGGCGGGGTCAATATCAAGGCTGTCGTTTCCTAAGATGATAACTTCAAACGTCACGTTCCAAATAACACGTGATTTCTCGCATTATACCCACTATAGTCCTGTATCGATATAATAAATGAATTTGTATACTGCAAATGATGCGAAACCTGAAAATATATAAATATAAGTTTTGTCTGGTTTTATTATTTTTTAAAATGTTTCTATTACAATAATAAACGAAATTTGGTGCCATAGATGGGACATCTCCGATTGGTGCGACATTTGCAGTACTGCAAAACTTACTTCATGCAAGGTCGACAGTACTGTGCTGACTGCCTTGCTACAGAGAAACTGCAGTTCCTGCCTCTGCTAATAAGAGCGCCGCATTATTTCCTATTTACTGAGTAAATAAAAAAATGACAAAAAATAATAGCTTATTTACATTTTTTTTATATTTCTGTCCCAGTATACTAGTTCAAATTAATTTTTTCAAAGAAACTTTCACAGGCTACTGTAATACTTTTTACAAAACTTTTTTGTTTTTGTTATTGCAAGACCTGAACGTCAGTCCTAAAATCTCTAAAATCTAATCCCGACATGGTAATCTTAAATGCAGTTAAAGGAAATGCTGTGGTGGTCATGAACACAAATGAACATCAGGAGAAGATTGAAGATATTCTTACAGACGAATCATATCGTCAACTTACAAAAGATCCTACGCAACCTTAAATCTGTTATCAAGGCTTCTTCTCTATCAGACTCCGTGACAAAATCTGTCACCCCTCATGACTCTAAAATTCCTAATCTCTACGGACTCCCAAGGGTTCACAAACCCGACATATTCTCTAGCAAAATATCTAGCTTCCTTATTAAAACTCCTTACAGGGAAAATTGATAGTTTCGTTCTTAATTTCTTTCACTTCATTGTACAATTAAAAAGCATTACATTGAGTACTCAAGATATTTTGGTTAGTTTCGACGTAGAGACGAAAAGTTCCTATTCCTATAACTCTCAACATGATTCTCAGAAATATTAAAATCCGAGAATCTGCAACCAAACCTTCTCACCTTAATAGAAAAATGGTTGCCTGGAACATGTTTTTCTTATAACGGTCAAATTTTTGATCAAATGTCGGTAACAGCTATGGGTTTTCCACTAAAGCTCTCGGCACCTAAAACCAAAATTATAGCCTACGTCGATGATACTTTTGTTATTTGGCCTCATAGTCAAGAATCACTAATAGATTTTCCTAGACATTTAAACTCTATACACCCTAACATACGTTTTACCATTGAATTAGAAACTAATAATAACCTCCCATTCTTAGATACTCTTATCAATAGAAAATCAGACCTAATATTGGGTCATTGTGTTTACAGAAAACCTACGCACACAGACCGATACCTTAATGCATGGTCACATCACCATCCGGCCCAAAAATCACCGGTTATCAACTCTCTTGTTTACAGAGAAGTAAAACTATCTCAGCCCAAGTCACTGAAAACAGAATTAAAACACCTTACCTCTGCTCTTCTCTCTAATAATTTCCACATTAAAGACATTACACTTGCCACTGTTGTTCTTCCTTACATTCAAAACATCATTGACAACATATCAAAAGTTCTAAAGAAATATAACTTCTAAATCAGAAATTCTTCGATCCGTCAAATAGAATTTACAGCATTCCATGCATATGCGGCAATGAATACATTGGAAAGACCGGACGAAAAATATTAATTAGGCTCAAAGAACACGAAAAAGCCTTAAGACTAAGACAAATAAACTCATCAACAGTTGCCAAACACAATCACGAAACCGGACATAAAATTTTATTCGATAAAACTAAAATACTTGCATGTAATCAATTCTTCTATAAACGAAAAATCCGAGAGTCTATAGAAATCTATAAGCAACCTAACAGTCTTAATCTTGACTCAGGTCTTATACCTCTCACCAATATGGGAGTCATCCGTGTGTGCCCCTCATTTAGTTCCGCCCCCCTCAAACAATATATACGCAGGTATAGTAAGTATAGTAGTAGGTAAAATTAGTAAGTTCGAGTCAACAAAAACCGATGCATTAGGAATCCAGAAGTTTTGTTGAAAGTAGTGCAAATTATCGATCTAATATAGTACAAATGTGAAATGTCATACAAAAGTGATCAAAAATGAAACCTTTGAGAGACCCGTTGGAAAATTCGCCTGTTAGAGCTAATTAGAAAAATAACTATATCAAATATAAATATATGATAAACAAATATAATATATATGAAATTATAAATCGCTTAAAAAAAGATTTTTCAAACCTCTAGAATAGAAGCCAGGGGGCGTCATTATATTCTTAAATTATAAATCCGATTTTTTTGGGAAATACACACAAGAGGAGCATTTTTTGAAAAACTGAACGACTAATCCAAAGATATACGCCGTTTGTGTATATAAGTTTAAAATGTTTTTCAATATTTTGACACCCTGTGTCTTTTTAACGAAATTATTACTATGTTCTTTATAGAAAAAACCACTCATAAAAATAACCAAAGCTATTCAGTTTTATTTTTGCTAACTTAGGTGATTATTCCAAAACTTTTTAGGCTCGCACCTTGGGATTTTGCGCAAACCTTACTATGCTATATTTAAATTATTATATTAAATAAATATATTAAAAAAAAAAAAGAAAAAATGTAACGTCGACCCTGCTTATTTCAATTGTAATAAATACAACACGGAAAGGCACAAAACCGCGAAGAAGTTAAAGCAAATTGTGTGCTTTTCCATGGCAGACCACCGTAATGGCTAGCTCATTAAAAACGAGAGTTAATGGCTCTAATAATACACACCAAATGGTCCATGACCACCACAGACATTCAAATATGTTCCAGTTAACTGTACAATGCGAAGACATGTTAAAAATGTTAAAATTGTTTCGTCGAATCTAAATAAGATAGATAACTGTATAATGCAAATTTTGGAAATAAAAAAATGTCACGATTTCTATCTAAATGGTTATTTTAGCCAGTGACCTAAATTTTACCCCAACCGTTGGGTCTTGTTAGTGATCAATTTAAGTAAAGTACATCATCTCAATGTGCCGCAGGGTACGGTACTTGGGCCAGTACTATTTAGTATATATGTCAATGGTATATTGTCGATCCTTAACGAGGGAACTGTTTTCTGCTTTGCAGATGACACCGCTGTTATTATAAGTGATAGCACTTGGGACTCAACTGTGAGAAAAGCAGAAACTGCAATTGTCAAATTGAAACAATGGCTTGTTTTTAGTCTTCTGTCACTGAATGTAGATAAAACAAAATTTATTGCTTTCAGCCGGACTCAAATCATGTAAATGTGAAAAACAAATTGAAAGAACAAAATCACTGAAATATTTAGGTATCTTTATTGATGAAAACTTGTCCTGGAGAAAACATGTTGAGTATGTTGTAGGAAAATTCAGGAAGTTAATTTATAAATTTTATGAATTGAGGCATATCCTACAAATAAAAACCCTTAAAATGATTTATTTTTCACTGGTTGAGGCAATAATCAATTATGGTTTAGCAGTATGGGGAGGGGCTTGTTAAACTATTACCGCCCCATTATATATAGTGCAAAAGTATATTATAAAAATCATGTACTTTAAAAATAAGAGATACTCAACATTACTTTTAGTTCAAGAGAGCAAACTACTTACCTTGGAGCAGTTGTACATAAAATCTGTGATAAGATTTATGCTTAAAACATCTTATTATAAACATGACCTTCATCATAATTTTGACACCAGAAATGCAGCACAACAAAATGTGTTATTACCCTTAGTCAAAAATTCAGTTAATCAGCGGCATATTAGCTTTGTTGGGCCAAAAGTCTACAATACCTTATCATTAAGCTTAAAAATACAACCGTATAGAAAAATAAAAAAGAAGCTTGATCAGTGGATTTTGGAAAGCCACTTCGCCCTGCAGCTTATCTAGCCTTACTTGCTTTCGATCGATTTGTGGATCAGCACTCATTTCATTTCATTTCATTTCATTTCATTTTATTACTATTTAAAATTTCCTTGTAAACTATTTATTTATATATGTGTGATATATTTTCTTCCAACTGTTTGAGAGTACAAACCTTATGTAATAACTAGTAATATCTCTGCATACTAGGTTGCACACACAGATTCTTGTGAATCCATTGTGCAAACCGAAATTATTTAAGTTTAGAATATTATCATTGTTGATTTTTTGTTGTTAAACAACTTTTAAGTACATAATTACGTCATATAGATGTAAATTTCGGGTAACGAGACTTATATTTTCAGTTGTTTTCCGTAGTACTAAACATTTAATTGTAACCTTGTAAATTCGTAATAAAAAAAAAAAAAATTGGGAAATATCACAAAAGTTTTTTAGTTTAGTTAGTTTAGTTTTTAAGCTATGACACTTTCATAATCTTATTCCATTTACGTTTCTTAAGGAATTTTACAATTTTAAAAATAATTCACACAACACGTTTAATTTTTTTATTTTTAACATCAAAATTTTGGGCAACAAAATTATTTTTCGTCACTATTTTAAATCCGATATTAATAAATAGGCTTTGTTGCTATTTTTGACCACTTACCATCTTGCCTGATATATTGCCCCTTTTTCTTTTATGGCTGAGAAAAGAAAAATGTATTGTACTTAATGATAGTGTAAATAAAACACCGAAGTACTGAACAGGGCAGAAGTATATCTTCTATATAACCAGTGCTCGGCAATCTTTCAAGGAAGGCTTATCAGCAGGTATTAAGTTACCTTTAGGAAGTAATAATTAAGTAAAAGACGCTTTGCTATACAGAAAATTACCAAAATAAATAAGAACTAAAAGTTCAGATTTTTACGAAATTATATATTTTGACATGACAATTGTTTCGACAACACCGTGTCTTTATCAAATGTAATATTTACAAACTACTTGCTACTATGTATACCGAAAAAAAAACTTATTTCCCAGTATTCCACCTATGGATAGATAGATTTAGTAAATTTCATCCTAACTCAGAAACAGGTTAACCCATTGGTGAAACAAGATTTGTTGGATTGCTTAATAGTATCTTTAGACCAAAATTATTTTGAATTTAATGGACAGATTTATATCTCTATATATGATGTCTTTGCTTGCTTTGTTGGAACTGACAGACAATTGAATTCTTTTTTAAATTACATTAACTCAGTACATAATCGTATAAAATTCACTATCGAGATTGAACAGGATAACTCTATTAATTTTTTAGACCCAACTATTAGGAAAGCGCAAAACAAATTATATTTTTCAATATATCATACACCTTCACATACGTACACAGTCATACATAACAGCTCAAATCACCCTGATACACACAAAATGGCTGCATTTAACTCTTTTATGAACAGACTTTTTTATACGCCACTCTCAAGAGAAAATTACAACAAAGAACTCAATACCATTAAACAAATTGCACTGAACAATGGCTACAATCCG